CTGTAACAAATCATCACTCAGGCTGCTCCCTGTATCCACACGTATCTTTTTGTTAAAAGAAACTTTGGACTTCATGGTTCTTTCAAAGTAATTCACACTGCATACTATTAGCATCATCTACCACAAATCGGTCTTTTTTTTTTTCTCTCTCTCTCTGCTCAAATGCCTTTTGGAGATATACACTTTTACAATTTTCCTACATCCTTCTCATTGATTTTCTTGGTTTGATGAGACCAGAGCAACTCTCCATTCTGAATTTGTTAATCAAGGATTAGAAAGCCCCAATAAATAGGATTAGTAGAACTATAACTCCAAATAAGCCACTGTCATCAAATAGCGTAGGAAATTCCAAAAGTGAAAATATGGGACYTTTCTTGCCCATCCCCAATAATTTTAAAATGAACAGCTTCCCCATAGGAAGTATCTAAAACCCTTTGTTTTATTTGTTTAACTTTGGTGGAGGAAGAGAGAGTAAATCCAAAACTAATAATTGGGAGATTTCTTTGTTGCCACAGAAAAAATCATTGATTACACRGTAACAGAAACATTTTGTCCCAACTTAAATAAGCATCAACACAATTCCTTTTCAATCCCACTTTTTTTTCCCCCGCCTCTCTTCAAGTAACTATCTGGGTGATGCAGTGTCTAGACTTCTTGGAACAAGTGATGGAGTCTGGAATTTATTCTGCGGCTTTGAAAATGGCTATTCAGGGCTCCCACGCACTTACATGTGAATGTCCTCTGCCTTAAGAATATGCAAATAGCACCAGGCTGATTACAAGAAAAAAAAAGTCATCCACTGATGCTGTAACTTCTAGCTGCTACTTAATGGGGAAATATTCTGTGAATTAATCTATTTTATCTGCATCACCTCATCATATTCTGCKTCCCATTAGCTATCATATAAAAATAAATATATAATTTGTATTCATAAAAAATATGGCAGACATTTTGAAGTTTTGGGAAAATACCCATAAATGAAATTAGCTTAAAGGACATACATACATCCATATCTGTTATGGTCTTAAAAAATAATCCACAAGAATGTATCAAGTCAAGGACAAAATTATTGTCACAGGTCGTTCTCTTAGTCCTTTGTCATTTGTTAGCTGGATAAAATGAAAGCAGTCTCTCAGGCGCCCACATCTAAGCAATGCTTGTACAGCCAGGATTATTGAGTCTGAGCGGAGTTTATCTGGGCTCTTAAGGAAATCAAACTGTGTGCTCAGAGAGAAAGTTCAGAGTTATTTGTCACCAATAATCTAAAGCTGAGGGTTGAGCTTACACAGAGCTGTAGCCATTTCCTGGAAGTACTTGCTCCTGATTTTACAAGACTGTCACTTTTTTAGGCTTTACCCTAGAAAATAGAAGTCTCCCACAGAAGAGCTTTAATACAAAGTTTATCTGCCCAAAATAGTCTAAAAGGACATAAAAAGTACTTAAAATAATTCTGTTCTTAATTTTCAAACAAATTTTCAAAATCTTCTATTATTATTTTTTATGACATAAGAAAAAGCAACCAGAAAGATTTTTTTCATTGAAAGACATATATACACACACACACACACACACACATACACATAAAACATGAAAATGAGGTGATCTCACCTATACTATAAAATCTGTAATGGTTCTGTTCAGAAGAGCACTGTAAAATTAAGTTCCCAAGCATTTGGGCTAGTCCCCTTATAAGAAAATTAGGTATTCTAAGTATAAAGTAAAACTAAAACATTGAGTGGAAAAGAATGGCAAAAATGTCAATCAACATTATGTTACTCTATATTTCTAAATTGGAACTTCAAGTAATAAACCCCATTGAGAAAAATAAGTTGATACCTATATTACATGATAATGATTGAAAGAATGCTCTTAGAAAAGTATTTATTTAACTTCAAAAATAATAAGGTTGGTTGAGGAGCTGAATCGTGAGTCAGAAGAACATGGGCTTGTTCCCAAATATATGTGGGTCTAAGTTTCTCCATTTGTGAAATGGGGAAACCATCCTGTTAGACTCAAAGACCTGTTCTGAAGAAAGTACGAGTATATGAATTGCTTCCTAAGTGGTTGAGTTTTGGCCATGTTCTAAACTGCATCAGATGTTATTGGAGRAGTGAAAGATTAATGATCCATTTTTACAGAAGCAAAACATAGATGAAGTTTTGAATAATTAAATCATTTGAAGAAGTCTAGCTAAGAAATCACATACAATGTTCACATTAACCACACTGCCTGGGAATTCTTTAGTTTGACAGAAAGGTCTAAATAATTGAGTGGATTCTCATATGAACTAGTGAACAGTGCTCTAAAGGGCCAAAAGGTTATGTCCCTAATGAACTCTAATGCACAGAAATGCCTCTTTAGAGATATAGACAGTAGAGTGGATGGATCAAAATAACATCTTTCATATGGGTGCCAATTAAGCCCAGTTGCAAAGCATGCAATTACTAACTGTACAATAAAAAATACCCAAATAGATGAAGGATGATTAACCTTTTACTAGCATAGGGTATATCTGGCTAAAACGTTTGTTTAAATGTTACCTAAAGACGTTAGAGATGGTGGTGAAATGAATACCTACTATGAGCTCAGAATTATCAATGACTAAGAGGCTTGCACAATTTTTAATTGAAATAAAAGCTTTCTGCCTGCAGAAAAGTCATGACCACAAGGTAGAAAATCAGCCACAACAGTATCAATTTTGCACTTGGACAAATTCCTACTTGGCAATAACATTCCACTTGCTACGTTATCTGCTAGGATTTTAGAGTTAAGTAAAGGAATGTTTTCCAGAATGTGTTCTTTAGAGCATTAGATCTAAGCAAATTTTATAAGTGCTCCAAAAATAAAAGTTTTAGAAAAAAATGTTGTTTTAATCACCGATAAGAAGGATTTGTAAAATATGACTTTTTAGATTTTTATTATCTGTCATTTTCAAAGAGAAGGATATGTTATGCAGCATTGTTTAAATGCATTAGAACACAGAAYGCTTTCCTCTCAACATAACTGGTGTTCCAAAAAACACATTAAAGGGGATGCATAGAACATTGTAAATCATATATCTGAAATGGCCAGGAAAATATTATTTACAACAAATTGCTAGAGCAGTTTTATTGATAAGCTACATGCCTGCCACAGTGTTCTCGATGTGAAATTTTATTTGCTGAAATGTGATTCTCATGTTCTGTATGTATTTGAAAAATTGATAGCAGTCAAACATCTGAATACTAATTGTTCACTTAGGAGCACAAAAATGATGATGAGCAAAGTTGGCTAAAACATTTGTTTAAATGTTACKTAAAGACATTAGAGATGGTGGTAAAATGTAYACCTACTATGAGCTCAGAATTATCAGTGACTAAGAGGTATGCACAATTTTTAATTGCAATAAACGCTTCCTGCCTGCATTCTTTTATTCAACTATTAAACAGTTCCTACTGAATACCAACCAGGCATTACCTTGTGTAGGGACAGATTCACAACTTAAGCCTGGATCATACTTTTAAGAAGACAGTAGTCTGGACATAGTGATAAGCACTGTAAGAGGACAGAGGACAAGGGTCTCTGATAATATTCATTTATAAAATTAAATTATAAATATCATTAAGCATTTCAAAAAATTGCTCTTGTTACATAGTAGTTTTTATATGAAGATGAGCTATACTCAGTTATTCATGGCCACACATAGATTACAAACAAGAGTTTGGTTAGTTTGATTTAGGGTTGTGTCATCAAGACTGCCTCTATTTTTAACAACTAGATATAATAGAAGAGTGTTTAGTTTAGGATGGAGATAACATTTATTCCAAAGTTGATTTAGTAATATAATAGTCTATGAATGTTAAACAGTCACAACTGATGGGTTAGTCTCCATTAAGGTATTTCCCTTCCTTTAGATCAAGTCTCCTGGGCACTGTGAGGGCTAAGATACACAGAACAAGTAATTTATGTTTTCCATATTTACATGGATCCTTAATATTTAATCTCAGCAAGTTCAGAAAAATACTGAATTAGAGGCTTTTGATTTTCTGTAGAAACCATTCCTCTAACCTTGATGAATTGAGAACCTTGTCTCATGAGATGAATCTGGTTCAGAAGTTTCATGATATTGATCAAGTTTAGAAGCTCTGAAACATAGTTCATGCCATAGGAAAATTTAATTCTCAAACAGTAGAACTTTGAGTTTACAGGGAGAATGTGTATTAAAAATAGGAATGTTGGTTATMCTTTATGCCTATGTAAGTGAGGATGTGCAATGAAGAAAGGAGCTCCCTTTCTTCATTGCAAAAAACGCATGTCATTCCCAAAAATACACATTTTACTGACTATTAGAACTTGCAGAAAAATGATTTGGCTGTTTTGTTATTCAACCCAATGGTGAACAYTTGGAAATTAAAGGAGTTGGAAAGGAAATACTGAAAGTGGCCTTGAGAATGGGGTGGGAAAAGGGAACACAGAGACCTCAGCATTATCTGCAATACTCCATTTCTTTTTTTTTATTAACAAAAGTGATGCAAAAATGATGAAGCTATATTTGCCAATTTTGAATGTTTCTACATAAGTACTTCTTGCATTATTTCTCTATTTTTTTAATTAGAAAAGAAAACATTATTAACAATTAATATGATGATTCATTCATTCAACAAATACTTATAGAGAGTTTACTGCATGATAGCTGCTAGCAATAAAATGGAGGAAAAAAACAGACATCATGCTCACCCTTTCRGAATTTGTTTAGATGTAAAATATGAGATGCTTGAGCTATTATACAGAAGGTGTGGGAATTGGGGTTAAGTCACTTAGTGAGGCTACTCTTAGTACTGAATCAGTAAGCAAAGGTCATTCAATGCTCATGGAGGGACCTACCTTATTTTTGGTCTAAGTATAATTACACCCCATGCAATGGCCTGGTCCACACATATAAAGTTGTCTCATGTGGTATATGATTTTTCTCTCTGGTTGCAGCCTCAAGTTCACATGTATTTTTCTTTGATTCCCTCTAGTATATGACTGCTGCTGCTCCTATGCAAGGGACCTACATTCCCCAGTACACGCCTGTGCCTCCGACAGCTGTTTCTATTGAAGTAAGTCTAACCCTGTCTTACAGAAATAGATTAAGGGAGGTCAATCTCAGTCAAATAAACTGTGGTTCTCAGGATTCAAGAAATCCTCATGTATAATTTTTGTGCTGATCTAAACTTTGCAATGGCAAGCTTGGTATATGAAAGTATGCACATTATTTTCAAGCATACCTTTATTTTGCTTTGCATGTGAAATGATCTAATCTGATACAGAGGTTTGAGGGGAAGGTCATTTTCACATTTAGAGAAAATAACAGAAAACAAATCACTACGCCATCAAATGTTAACCACAGATTGTCATAAAAATAGGGAGGCAAAACAGTTTGCAAGTATGAGAATGAGCTAGATCTCTAGTGCCTTGTTTTACATTTCAAAGTATGGGCCCTGTCCCCACCATCATGTGAATCACCTAAGACTTTGTTAGAAATGCAGGCTGTCAGGTACCACTCAGATCTACTAAATTTGAATTTTTATTTTAAGAAGATCCTTCCATAATTCAGTTGTGCATTGAAATTGTAAGAAACGCTGGATTGGTGCACTAATTCTCACAATTTCTTCACATTAAATTTATTTGGAGAGTTTTAGAAACGATTGCTTCCTGGATTCTACTCCCAGAGATTCTGATTCACCTATCTGGAAAATGTCCTCCTATACATGAGTATGTTTAAAAGATCTCAGCTGATTCCAATATATACCAGTGGTAGAATGCCTAGCATGCAGAAGGCCCTGTGTTTAATTTTTAACAATAAGGAAGGGAAGGAAGGAGAAAGAAAAAGGTGGGAGATAAAGGGATAAAGAGAGAAAAGGAGAAAGAGAAGAAGGAAGGAAGGAAGGAAGGAAGGAAGGAAGGAAGGAAGGAAGGAAGGAAGGAAGGAAGGAAGGAGAGAAAGGGTGGGCAGGGAAGGGGGAAGGAAAGGGGATAGGAAATGAAAGAAAGACACTGTTCCATTGAATAACCCTTGATAGATTTGTAGCTTCCTATAGACAAGAACTCGTTGGATCCCTCTTAACAGTGTAGACATCATAAATGATAGTGTCATATTGACCTTAAAGGAAACATTATCCCTCTCCTTTTGTCTTTCATTTGGGATGAATCCATCCCCTCTATACCTTTACTACATAAAACCATCACGCTTTGTTGAAAACAGAAGGCATAGAACTTCATGGAGGGAGAGGTGAAACACTTAGAATCTATTCTTCCCTCTGATTCTGGCTGTTAATTTTCATTTCACTGCCCCCCTTACCCCTCTCCTAATGCATATGTACATTATGGTCACAGAACACTTCCCCTCCTCAGCTGAAAACCGTCTGGAATTGACGTCTTTGCTGCTCCATAAATCGGCCAGCAACTAGCACATTTGTACTGCACCACATGAAAATCCACTGATAAAGAGATTGATAGAAACCTTCATAGACTAAATTAGATTTGTTAAAATACCTATTTTTTGGTGTAACAAATGTTGACTTGTRCCAAGTTATAGAARGTGCAGAGGGCACTACTGTGTCGTTTAGATAACTAATATCAAATTTTCAGACCTCTTATATGTTCTAGACATATGGGACCCAAAGAATTTGTCATATTAAATAGGTTTTAATTTGATCTCTAAATTTCCAAAAATATGTGATTGAATTACATGTTCTTTGCTATATTCAGCTCTCAAAAAGGAGCTATGCCATGAGTAATCCAATAATCCAGGCATTCTAGGTGCTGTGAACATAGATCTCTGCCACATGTTTGCATTTCTTTATGTCTTGATTGGCACATGCCAATCAAAAGAATTGAAACATTTTGATTATAATCAATTAATATGGCCCATTTCACAGGGTAGTTTATTAGAAATGATATAGGTAAATCTGGAGTCTGAAAAGAAGAACTTCAGTGAGAAAAATATAAATACACTCTGACATACTGCCTTTCATTTGTACTTATAGGGAAAAGCACTGATTCATTTTCCATGTGAAAACTTTCATTACACATTCACCAGAATCCATAAAAATAAATGCTGGTGGGAGAAAAACTCAAAACAGCATATAGTACCTTTGGAAAGGAAACAATGAATGTCTCTAAGAAAAAAATTTTCAGATTCTAAGGAAGAATTTCAGGGATCTTTAGTTAAGTGACAAGAGAATTGACCAAGAGCATTTGAAATTCAACATGACTGCAGGTGTCCAAGATTATAACTAAAATCAGGAGAGATACCTTCTTCAGTTCTACTAACAACCAAATAAATCCATGTACATCTCCCTTGGAAACAAACATAGGTTCCTGATAAATGACCAGCTCCAGAAATTCATTCTTGCCAGCATCTGTGAGAAATGAAAGATACAATATGAACAAAAAAAAGGAAGAGCAAATCTAAATTAAGGACAAGTTGTTTTGTTTTGTTTTGTTTCCTTTTTCTGGAAACTGTAAATGGATTTCAGTTCATATCTTGGAAAACAAAGCAATCTAAAACAAATTACTGAAGGCAAAACCTACTCAACTGTATCCTTTGAAAAGATTTTCAAACTTTGATGGAGATTTTTATGAAGGACAGAGTCCATTATTTTGCCAAATGATATGGACAAGGTACAGTAAACTACCCCCAGGCAATTGTTTACATATGCAAGTATTTCTAGGAATCCTGAAAGAAATTTTTGATTAAAAACTTGTTATTTAGTCTGACTATATGTAACCATGGTTTAAAAGTTCCAAGAATGGGCAAAATGATTTTTTTTTTCTGACAATATGACTATACCAAGGACTTCTAATGGCAGAGCTTATGGTGTTGCATTAGAATGAACTTCCCAACCCTTATCCAAATTTATTCTTTGCATTGCTTTGAGTGCTTATCATGGTTTCATGGAGCTGAGAGCGTTTCTTCTCAAGCCAAAAGAGTATTTATGATTCATGAAGACAAGATCGTTTATGCTAAAGAAAATAAGGTCTTTGTGTACTTATGTGCCTCCTTAGGGTGTCGTTGCTGATACTTCTCCCCAGACAGTGGCACCTTCATCCCAGGACACCAGTGGTCAGCAGCAACAGATAGCAGTGGACACATCCAACGAACATGCACCTGCATATTCTTACCAACAGTCAAAGTAAGTTTGGGTTATTGTAAGCTCTGCCCTTCTAAGATCAAACATCTCAAAATCACTCTTTTAAGGTGTATCCATTAGTTTGGGTTGTAAAAACACCACCCCAAATTTAGTGACAAACATTGTTTAGCTCGCTGCTAAGTGAGCCTATTTGGACTGACCTTGGATGACTGTTTCTTCTGACCTTGGCTGGACCTAGAGTCTGGGTCAGTGGCTGAACAGCCACGTAGCTCTGTTTCAGGGTAGGGGCTGGTTGTTGGTTGGATGATAGAACTGAATAGGCCACATGTTCTTGATCATTCTGAGAGCTAATTGAAAGGAAGTCTCAGAATTTCCAAGACAGCAACAAAGGAAGTCTAAAGAGATCAAGCATTCTTAATTCTATTTGTGACTCCTGGGGTATTGTTGCATAGGACAAAACAAGTCATGGCCAAACAGAATCAATGTAGGTGCTCACTGTGAGAGGGAAGAATTGCATTAATTTTCACCAAAGGCACATACTTATCCAAATAATTGGAACATTCTGATGATGATAAAATAATGAGGCAATTTGACAGTTCAGTATATTAGAAACAGTCTAGTTGAAAACTGAAAAAATTTCCAGTATTCACCTATGAAACTTCATAGTGAAATTCCATTTTATTGTTGAATGAAAACAAGTGACACTTCTCTTGCAGAGTTGCTTTGAACACCCAGTTAAATGTTTGTGGAAAAAAAAAAGGATACCATAAAATACAAATCATAGAAAATAGGTTCCTACTTAGGAGTTAAGGGGCAAAGAAAAAAACATCAAGTAGACAGAATTACTCTTGAAAGTTCTTAAGCCACTCATAAAATAAATTGCCTTTGTGTTGAGTAAATATACAGACTAAAATTTGAGAGCTTTTTGTTGAAACCAAAGGAATTAACAATAGTAAAGTCTACACACAGGTAACTTGACATGCAAAGTGCTCCACTTTGTACATTACAATCAAACCCCTGGTGAACAGAGAATTCCCAGATGATCCTCTCAATAGTTTGGCTCTATTTCTTGGTCATTTTACTTATTCATAAAAAAAAATTATTTGACACTTGTTAGCACAGTAGGAAGGTTTTACTCATAATTATCACAGTGTGTCAGGATTGTCACAAAAGAGAAGAGAGATTGGGCCCAACTAAAAATAGATCACAGGCAGGTGGAGATTTATAGCCAATCAACAGAGGGAAGGGAAAATTATTAAAAGGAGACAGCAGGAGTAGGGAATTACTACTAAACCAATTTAATCAAATTCTTACTGAAAGAAAATCAAAGATGGATAAAATCAAAGGTGCCACATGAGAAAATTGATCAGATATTAAGGACGATTCCATGTCAAGGATAGGAAACTCTGGCTACACTGACATAATAAATAAACTGACATAAACAAACATAAAGATTAAAAATGTAATAGAAACATTAAAAAATAAACTGATATAAAGAAGGGAAACAAGGGGTTCTATGACCTAGAACTTTCCTACTAGCAGCTAAATAATTTCTGGATCAATGGAAATAATGCTTTCACTCATCAAGTCAGCAGTTTTTTTTTTTTTTGAGCACCTATTATGTGACAGTATTCTAAGTGCTAAAAAACGATCAATGAAAAAAGCGGATTTCTCCCCCCCTCTCCTGGAGTTTATTTTCCACTTATAATCAATAGATCAATCAAAAAACAATTTTAAAAAAGACAGAATTACAAAGCAGATCATTCAAATATTCCAGGGGATATAAAATGATGAGGTCAACTCCCAGGATTTAGTATTGGAGAAGACCTCTCATATAGGCCTGGGTTCTTGGGGAAATTTAGAAACAAGGCATTTTAAGGAGAGGAAATAGGCCATTTGTAGGCCCTTGGTGGGAACATGAGGCTGATGTGTTGCAGACTAGAGGCAACCATTCCAGGAGGTTAGATCAAACAGAACAGCTGGTACCAAGCTTTTGCCCCTTAAATACTTGACTCTCTATAATGATACTTGGTTTTACTCAAAATGAGCTCAGAACTCTTGGGAGGGCTGTAAAAGAAGAAATGATATCATTTGATTCACAAATGTTGACTCTAATACCACTGAATATAGAGGGATATATTTCAAGGATGGCTTTCAGCATGCAAATATCCCCCTTCTTGCAACTCTCCAAAGACTCCTCCTTTCCCTGACCAATTAACCGAGCTTCAGTTGCCCCAACTTGTTATTCCACAATGAGGTGTACTCTAACTTTCTCAAGGATGTACTATCTCAGGTGTAAAGCTCCTTGCCATGGTCACATTATGATTTGGTGGGGAAAGGTATTCCGTCTAACCCAGAGGGAGTATCTCTGCCTCTGGCAGATTCTGGTGACAGTTTCCACATTCACTTCCAGGGCCAGAGCCAAGTTCATGCATGATAACAGCATCATAACCAGTTATACCAGTAGACATGGTCTATCCTCTGGATTTACAATCCAGGCTGGGATTTAGTTCTCCATGTTCAGAAAATATGCATTCTATATGGAAGAAAATGAACATGACTCTCTTTTAAAGCGCTATAGTAATAGGAGAATGCACTTCATATTTCCTGGCTTGGTAAGCCTGGGTGGTGGTTATGGCAACTGGAACTGAATCTTGGAGGCAGGAGCAGCATTTTAGATGGTGTAACAGTTTGATCAAAGTCCAAGGGTGGGAAGGGAGCTCAGAATGCTTCTTCAAGAAGTGGAGGTAGAGTAACAGAATTGTGTTCAAAAGATGATTAGATTTAGATGATTATATCAGGTGCCACACTGAATTGCTTGGATGGCATTACCTTTGTTCTATGACTACTACTTTTTCAGCCAAAGTAGGCAATGAATTTGATAGGAAGGGAAATCAGCAGTGCTATTATTGCTATGACTTAGGAAAGAAGTAGCAAAGTTCTGAAGTGTCACCATGGTAGGTGCAATGGTGGGAAGAGGAAGGTAGAGTGGAAGATAGACTGAAAGAAGAAAAAACATAAATAAGACTTCAAAATTCAAAAGGAATCAATGAAGCTCTTCATGCCATTAACAGAAGCAGATGAGATAAAAACCCACGAGGGTGTGACTTTCTGGAGAAAGACAGGAATTTAATTATCCTTGTGATGAGTCCATTCTAATAAGCTCTACTCTTTGAAGTATTTGAGGAATTCTGAATCTTAGCACATACAACTTTCACTATTGAAACATGTGTATAAGTTTGGTTACACACCACGGTCATTTCTCTTGAGCCACGGATTTTTATGGTTGACAATGCTGAGTTTTCCAAAGATAATAAATATTCTGAAATGAAATCTCCATCCCATGTCCTCACAGTGGTAAAACTTATGAGGAGAATTGCCTTGACTGGAAGAATTAGATTCTGCACTCACACGGGAATGTATGTGGCAGGATGTTCTACAGCTCATGCTCAGTGCTACAAAAATGAAACATTCTGGAACATGGAACATTTCAAAAATATGACATGCAAAAACCACTTTTATTGCCCTTCAGACATTTTTTAAACCTGTAAAAATGTTCATAAATTCTGTGCATGTTCTCAACTTCCTCTTTTGGATATGATACAGTCTTAGAAGCTTTTGACTTGAAACAACAATAAAAACAAAATAGTGAATGAAATAAAAAAAAATATACTAAGACAAACTACATTTGGGTGTGGCAATCACTCCTGGAATTTTATAAAAGGAAGTAATGCATGAGACTCTATTCAGGTGTTTGTTTTTTTTAATCAGGTTCAGTCAAGAGAATCTGACCTGGGTCATGGTAAGACAGATTCTTCAGAATCATTTGAGGAAGACACTGGGAATTAAGCTGAGCATTTGGATCATGCAAAGTGGGTTCCTTTTCATTGGCAACCATCACTGGGAAGAGTTTGAGGGATGCAAGAGCACCCTCAGAGACACTAAGCAAGCATTTGTTAGAAAGCAGGCACAGAACAACTTACACAGCTTGCTGTGTACACTTAATAAACTCCTAGCTCTGTTCTTTAAAGTTAACTGACCAGACCTGGTATAAAAAATTCTCTCAGGTTAGATTCAACCGTATTCTAGATATAGGACTATGTCGTCCTTATAAAAGCCACTCAGTCTGCTCTGTGACAATTCTGATTTGAAATCAATCCTCAAGCAGTATCCGAAAGTGAATTGTGTTCTATACATTTCCCTAAATTCTTATATCCTTCCTGTTCCTAGTATAATGGAGAGTATCTCTAAAATAATTTAGCCAATCCACATTTTCTTAAATATGCCAAATCTCACAAATGGCAGCTCATTTCCAACACCATTATGCTAATTAACATGCCACTACTTTCATTAGGCAACCCATTTCTAACAATCATTATGCTAATGGAGATATGGATAGCTTAAAGTACTTGTACTACCTCTGGCCTTTTTGATTAAATGCTAGCTGACCTCTTGTGGGGTATGAAATTCTAATTAGGGTAGCAGAGTGCCCCTGAAAAGTAGCTTAATACATCACACATACATTTAACACCAAAGCCTCTATACTAAAGATACTGTAAATTAAGTTACACCCATTGTAACCAAAGATTGCAAGAGAAAAGTTTGAGAAATATAAATGATAGGCCTATGAATTATGGAACTATATTTGTGATCTGTCCATTCCAGATTCCACTTTCCAAGCTAAACTATAGGACCACACATTTATACTTATGGTTTCTTGTTTTCTTTAAGAGAAGCTATTGATGCAAAAGGGACACTCAGCTCTTATCTCAGGAGGAAATGTTCACTGTGGTTTCTTTTGGAACTTCTATGGAAATTCTAATTTCACCCAAGATTTCTATTTGTTTATTTGATTTTGTGTTATGAAAGAAACCTTAAACTAACTAGGATCTGAAAAATATGTCTTCAAACAAACTTAAATTCTACTATGCAGAACCATAAGCCCTTTGTTCTGACTCCACCTTTGTGACATCTCAGTTACTACTCAGTTATTTGATTTTCCTCTTCAAAGTGAGAAGATTGGGCCATTCTCCAAAGAGCCTAAATTAGGTATCTAAATGGGAGGGGGGGGGAGATTTACCACCATGCCCCAAGTCAGGGTTGGAAAGTGCCCCAAGCACTTCCTAGTCAAATTATGTTGGGATGCACTGCCTTTTAAAAAATAAAATAGCTTTATTTTATTTTATATGGTGCTGAGAATCAAACTCAGTGCCTCACATGTGCTAGGCAACTGTTGTACCACTGAGCTACAACCCCAGACCAAGGATACACTGCTTTAAACCAAGCCAAATGCTTTCTTTAATCAGAGCTCTCTCCAAAACTACTAAAATACAGTATTAACGAGCAGGATCTTGTGACCCATGCCTGTAATCCCTACTACTTATGAGACTGAGGCAGGAGTATCTCAAGTTCTACACCAGCCTGGGCAACTTAGCAAGATCCTGTCTCAAAATAAAATTAAAAAGGATTGGGGATATAGCTCAATGGTAGAGCACTCTTAGGTTCAACCCCCAATATCGAAAACCAGAAAAAATACTTCCAATACTTTATTTCCTGAAAGATTATGGTGCATGCCCCTTTCCTCCTATGGAATGCCAAGATATTTTTTAAAAATATATTAAATTATTTTAAAAGTTTAACAAAATTTTTAAATTGTCTATGTGTTGATTATTTTCATAGTAATATAAAGCATTGCATTGTTTTGAATTTTTTTATCCTGCTATTCTTCTTTGTGCTTTAAGTATTTGTTTAGTTTACCTGTAGATAATCCAGTATTAGGAGTTAAGTGTATAGTTTTTTTCTCCAAATCCTGGACCACAGAATACTTTTTTTATATAGCATTGCATGAAGCTAGTCTATGAGAAATTTCTCTGGGAAATACTGAATCAGTGGATTTCTTAAATACTAAATTCTAGCTTTCAAAAATATGGATTGCTATTTCCCAACTTGTAAACTATTTTTTGTTGTTGTTGTTTTGTTTTTATTTTTATTTTTTGTTTTCTTTGGAGAGGGAGCTGATAAGAAGATTCAAAATGAGTCTATTCATCCTGACATTAAAAAAAAATACTATTGCATTTTATTTTTATTCCTCAACTCTTCCATGGCTAATGAAACTGTGGGAACACAAAATTCCTAAAAGTGGTCAGTACAGTGATGACATGTAATTATTACTTACGAGTCACACCACCTTCTGTGTTCAGTGCTTCACAGTTTGCAAATAGTTTTCAAACTCATCTTTTTCACGTGTTAATTATTCTAGGTTTCATCTTGTTTTCTTGCTATTCTCAGAGTCCAACTTAAAATGTTCTCTATACTAATGATCACAAACTTGAGAATTTAGAATGCTTCTATTTTTATAAATATGGGGGCAACCCATAAATACTGTGTAAATGTACACATTCACACTTCATCTGAAGAAGAGGGAGTGGAGAGAAGTGAATTTAATTCTGTTAAACAGCAACACCTTTTTCCTTTCAACTTCGGCTAAGAACCATGAACATGTAAATTACAGCCCTTTATTTCTCCTTATTTGTTTTCATGTAGCAATGAGGACCCTTTAAGGACAAAGCAAATTATGGAAGGGTACTGTTGGAAATTATTGTATAAGGTTTAAAACATAGAAGCAGCTACAGCTTTAACATTTAACATTTATATACACACATATATTTATTATATATTCATACAGTATACACACATATATATAGTATATGTATGTGTATATATATACATATATATGTATATATATATATGTGTGTGTGTGTGTATATATATATATACTTTTTTTTTTGTACTGGGGATTTAACCTAGGGGAACTTTACCACTGAGCTACATCCCTGCCACCCATCCCCCCTGCCCTTTTTGGTTTTGTTTTTTTATTTTAAGACAGGGTCTCACTAAGTTGCTGAGGCTGACCTTGAACTTGCAATCCTTCAGTCTCAGCCTCCTGAGTCAAGTGGAGTCATTGGGATTACAGGCATGTGCCACCATGCTCAGCTTAACTCATAAAAACTGATGCTTCTGAGATCAGTGCCTATTGAGGACTTGAGCAGGGAGGGTCTTTTGTGCCACCACTGAGTAAGACAACTTACTGAGTTGAGCTGCTCATCATAGAGATTCATGGTGTTTTAGGCTTTTTCTCTTTATTGTACAGTGGAAAATGGGAATGGAAATAAAGAGGAGACCAAAACACAAAACCAAGGAAAGAAAAATGTTGGTTCTCATAGAAAAGATAGATTTTAGAAATACATAAGAGTCAGCCTACAGTTTGCAAAGGCAGAGAAAGACAGCTAAAACATTGACCAGGGTTTTTATAGCTACTACTAATAAAATTCCCTTTATTGTTGCTATTATGAGAATTCTAATTGCATTTTTTTCTTGAAGAAATCCTACTTTTTCATGTGACCCAGGGGAGAAAATGATATATCCTCAGAGACTTAAACTATTGGTTAAAAAAAATGAAATATTCACTCTATCAATTAGTTGCTTTTCTTGCATGATCTAGGAACAAATTAATTAGGTCCCTAATAGCCACAGCTGGCTCACATGATGGATTTATGCAAATTAAGAAAAAGAGACCTTTTGAGGCCATTTTAGGCAAGATATTATCCATTTTAAAACACTGTTGAGGACATTATGTGAATTTCAATAAGGCCCATCCACTTGATTAGGGCAGATGCAGTCCTGTATCAGATTATATAGATTTGGAAGAAGACAGTTGGTTAAAACTTAGCCCTTCTCCCTTAACCATGCATCCTGTATAGTAAGCAATCTGCCTACCTGTACCTAACAACCCTTTGTGCTAAATGAAGCAAATGGGTATGAAAAATAACCTTCGGAGCTTATTGCTATAATCTGTGCCTGGAGGAAAGAGATCATCATTTAAATGTGACTTGCATGCATAGAAAGTTGTATTATTCACCTGTTTTCTGTTGCTAAATCAAATTTACTAAAGGTGGATAGTGTATAAAGAAAGGAGGTTTATTTAGCTCACAATTTTGGAGGCTGAATGTTCAAAATTGAACATTCCTATCTCTATGGCCTCTTGACAGTCCCCTTCTGGGGCCACAAGAAGGCTTCATGGTGGGAGTGTTAAAGGGATTGCATGATCAGACAAGAAGCACAGAATAGAGAAGGAAGGGGCTTGCTCTTTTGTAACACCTTACTCCCTCAAGAACTAACTCAGGATCCCATGAGAACTTTAATCCCCACCAAAGACACACACACAATGGCATGCCACTGGGCTCCATGTCTTCAAGGTTCCAACCTCACCTTCCACATTTCCACACTGAAGATGGAGAGTCCAAAACATGAACCTTGGGGAGAACATGTTCCCACCATATCCAGTCCATAGCAGGAGTGCTGTCTCTCTGAGCCCTATTTGACGATTATTCATCATATTTATTGCATTGGAATCCAAAGGTATTCTTGGTTTCTTTACCTTGATTTTTAATGTGAACAAACTCTCTCACTTGAACATATATTTATGTGAAATTGGCAGCATTTGACAACTTCATAGGCTAACTATGCTTTTCCAAATTTCTTTCTTGACCACGTTCTTGAGCTTGATATCTTTGAACGTCCTCGCTAGAAAAGAGCACAGAAGACAGTTTTCAAAGCTGCTTTGATGTAACAGTCACTCTTATTCAATTGTTTTCACAGACCATAAACAGAACTGAAGAATGTTCATCTGAAACTTTGCCTTGAATGAAGAAACTTCATTGAACAAGAAGTTAGTTGGCTTCCAGTTTGCACAGGCGTCAATGGAAGGCTTTTTTTTTTTTTTTTTAATTTTATACTTTACTCGATGAAAACAAAAAGTTTTTATGTGCTGTGCAAATGGTTCCTTTATGTGGTCTGACAGTTTATTTTAGCCATCCTTTTTTTTTTTTATAATTAAAGAAAAAAAATCCCAAGAAGAGGGGGTTAAACATCACAGTTTTATGTTTTATCTAGAACATTTAAATTCAGAATTTACCTGAAAGTGTAGATAGATTCTTTTTTTTATTTTTTATTTTTCTTTAACAGAAAACCTGATGTCAAGAGGTGGGCAAACAGAATTGGAACAAATTGTCTTGCTCAGTAACTAAGCTACTTTCTCTCTTTTTCCTTTTTTGTTTAAATCTTGTGTTTTTTTATTAATTTTTTTTTAGAAATATGTAGGTAAGGTTTATCTTGAATCTTAATTGCCTTAATTTTAAGGACGTCAAAGGCTCTCAAGGCAAGCTGTCAACGTCTGGTTAAAAAAAAAAAATCAAGAAAAATGGAAATATTGTGCCAGCTTTAACTGGTACAGAAGTTTAAGACTATGAGTTTTTAGGGTGAAAAAAAAAAAACTGTACAGTTTAAAAGAAAATGTTTTTTCTTCATTTGAAGAAAATTTGTTGATAAAAGAAACCATGGCAACTGCAAGAATTGGGAAATGCTGGGACTTTTCATGAACTTTGTCTTAAGTGTTGACACAAATCATTCTAGAAGGCTAAAACATTTTACAGTAAAGTTATTCATGTTGGTTTTAAAACAACTGCATTAGAAATAATGCGTGTTTGGGGGGCAGAATGCAGATTTTTTTTATTTACAAAGCGTGATTGCTAGCAAAAGCATTAGTGCTTTTTATCTGCAGTCTTTTTTATGAGCTTTACAAAGTTTTTAGTCAGCTTTGCTTGTCACATTGCAAAACCTAGCTTAAGAGCATTAAAAAAACAAAACAAAACAAAAAAAAACTTAAGTAGATAGGAGCTTATGGTCAAAAAGTGCAAAAAACAAAAAAAGCAATAGATAGAGAAATTGTTGACAATTTCTGTAGTCTTTCCTAGTTGTGATCAAATTCAGCCTATGGATGGCCTATTTTATACCAAAGATGAAGTGACACCCTATTACAGTCCAGAGGGTAGAGGTTGTTAATTCTGTTTTGTTTTAAAATTTTTATTTGACCTACATGGCCGGACCAGTTTTTTGTCCTTTGTTTAAACTATCTTCCACTGGTGTTTTACTTACTGCAAAAGAAAAAAAAAAGTGTTTTTTTTTTTTTTAAGTCTTTGTTGATATTAGAAGCTTGTACCTGCTGTGTTCAACAGTTATAGCAAGGAGAGTCCTGGGTACCAATTGATAGAGCCAAGAGGCTTTAAATCCTGTGAGCTTTTCTGATTCCTTGCTAACTCTCTTCAATAGTGAAACCTGTGCTGATGGCCACCAATAAGCCAAGACACTTGTTTAACAGGTTGGAATTTCTTTGTATGAATTTTGAACTAAAGATGCTTCCTGAACATGATCTGAAAGGTCACTTGTCAGAAAAGCTGAGTGATATTGTGTGCAATGGTGAGTGGTCTCTGAAAAGGTCTCATTTTGTAACAGTCTTCCTTCTAAATTCTAACACCTCCTGGTTTTGTCTTCTCACTTCAGTCTTTTGTCATCATCCACCATGAATAGCCACCTTGATTGTGCAATTGAGGTGGGGGGTATCTTCTTTTTGCCTCTTTTCATATCTTGGTGATGCCGGAAAGAAAGACAAAACAGACGTTTCATTTCAGTTTAATTATCCAAGGCAAGCAGGACTAATAAGATTGAGGGTTCTCTTAATGGAATTTCTGAAAAATGCTAGTTGACAATCAAGTAATTGTATCATTTTTAATCAATAAGAACCAAAAGAATTAGGTTTGATCAATGATAAAAGCCAAAGGAGATATATGCACTTAGGACAATGCAAAAGTTTGTTTAAAATTAAATTGACTTACCTAGAAAACATCTTTGCATTTTGATTCATCAAGTCCACGTTCAACTTATACAGTTTTACCTGAAATTAGAGACAACAGAATGGAATTTTGCTAATTGAACCAATTGCTAAAATGGCTTTGCRAATGAATCATTTTAATCAAATAGGTGAAAATCTTTTTGCAAACTAAAGAAGTCACAGGAATCTGACTTATTCCATAAAGAAGGAAGAAATACATGAAGTGCACTATAGAAGAAAACAGGGTAGGCTTTTGAAAACTAAAAAATTCAAAATGTAAATCATATTCTTGTTAGGGCAACATGAGTAAGGAGGGGGACTCATAGAAAATTGCCACTTTTTTTCACTATTTAAATGGACCCTTGTTCTCTTATTTGCCACCCCAGATATTGGAAGCTCAAACCTACAGAATGGCTCCATATCTCTGCAGTCAAACTAATAGCAAAAGTGTATCCAAGGAAATGTCACATGTGCTACAGAGAAATTCAGCTGGTCACACCCTTCCTGATGGTTTTCTGTTTCTAGAGAGAATCCTAGAATGACACATTCTTTGGTATCCTACAGCTTCCCAAGTATTGCAAGAGTGGCACTTAAGTTTTGCCTTTGAATAGTGGGTCCCCAAGTTACAGGGGGTATAAGAAAACATCTTTGGGAACTGTATTTTCTGTTCTTCCTTTTCACTCTCTGAATTCTTTGTATAAATAAGGATTATCCTAGGCATAATTCATTTGAATATGAAACCAACATGCTTTCCTTTGTTTATGTAAAGAAAATATACCAAAAAACAAATATTAATGTGATACAAAGAAAGTCTCATTTACACAATCAACAATGAGGCTAAGAGGTAGCTACCATGTGGCTGATGAATGTGCCTAGGTAACTTCCTGTTTCTATTCAAAACTGCTGCTTTATTTATACATTCAGAAACATTTTTTTCAACTATGAAATTTCAGTAATCTCAATTTTTTTAAGCCACTTCAGGCGAAAGGAAATTACCTGTCATTTTATGTGTCCATGTGTGTTTTGTGTTTAGATTGTTTATGTCATGCCATTCTATAAAATTTCAAACCAAAAAGAAGAAAAAAGCAAAGTTCAAATTTGCCCCCTTTTCCTGACATCTTACCTAATAACTGTTTCCAAGTGTCCAGTTTGGGGTTGGGGGTGGCGCATCCACAGGTAAGCAGTGCTACTCTAAGTGAAAAAGAAAGAAAACCAAAATATGTGTTCAATATATGTGGGCATCAGCATCCTAATCTAATTCACCGTATATAGTGTGGTGATTTTAGTACTATTTAAGACTATAACCTTTTTTAAAGTTGAAGTTGATTTTCCAAGTATTCTGATTCACCAGATTTTTAAGTATTTATTGAAATATCTAAAATTGGTTCTTTATGACTGCAATTGCCAAGACTTAGCCTACCCATTAGGAAACAAACTACAGCCACAATCCATGTAAGACAAACACTGTCTCATCTAAACTCAGTTACTAGGTCAGTGGGAGAATGGGTTTATTCTAATGAAAAGGTGTTGTCAGGAGAAGCAATGTATGTAGTAACTGGACATTCACAGGGCATGMCCATTGTCTTCTAAGGACAATTAATGTAGCCCAAGAGAACTAAAGTCACAGGAGCAGGTGATGAATACTGCTTGTCATAAATGCTGACATGTTTTGAATATTAACAAATCACAAAATATTTGAAAGAAAAAAATCCTCCACCTGATTTCAATTTGGCTAGAATTAGTTTGTTTTCTTGGAAAATTTCAACTCTTTAGAATATTGTCTCCATATTTCGCTTAAATTAATTCTTGTGACTATTAACAGACATGCCACCTTTGAAAGCACATGACTCACTTCCACCCCTTGTAATGCAAAACTACTTGGTTTTAAAAGCATGTGCATTGGAAATGCAAGACCAAGAGCTGAAAAAAGCTGATGGATCAAACAGTTTGCATTATTTCCCTATGCCAACAAAATACATCATGGGCCTCATTGCCAAACTGCTTTAAAATCACTTTTAGCTCATGTATGACCAAAAACGGACTTCATTTTGTTCCTCCACCCCAGAAATTTTATTTGAAAAATAATCAGGGTGTCTATTATATACCTAATTACTTTTGCACTGGCCTAAAATCCCCATTGGTGGAAAAGGAAATTTTATTGGGATAGGACCTTGAGAATTTCTTCATGATTATAAAAAGTTTCAACAGGCTCTCCAGAAACAGTTATGATGTTAGTAGACTAAAAATGCATTTGACAAATTGGTCTCCTTAATTTGAGTGCATGAACCACTTATCAGAGGAGCAGATAAGCAGATAAAATTTCTTAAGTGTGTTTTAGTGATCAATGTTTTTTATATGATTTCAAATCAAGCAAGGGGCAATATTTATATAAATGTATAATAACATTCAGTGCATTTGAGGAATCACACGTTGTAATACAGTATTAACACATCATAATGATGATAACACATCATTTTTATTTTGACTATAGTAGAGAGGAAAGGATGAGACTTTGTTTTTTTKTGTGTGTTATGTGGCTGGCATACTTCAAAATTTTGAGTCCAGTGGAACTGACAAGCTTCTCACTTCAATCTGAGGGACTGACAGAATTTAAACAAGGCTCACTGATTGTGTGCACTATACTCTCCCTGTGGCAAAGCGATAATGGGATTTCATTAACCAATCAATTTGCTTTACAAATGACATCCACTGTGGGGTGGCATTGGAAGACAGTTGGGTCTGACTCAAGGTTAACATTTCCTACCAAAACTTTTTAAAATATAAAATTGGTCCCTTAATCCAAATGTTATTGGGCATGACTATTAGTTGTGCGAGTTGCATATGGAGTTCAGGAAAATAGGAAAACTAAATACCAAGTCCCCATGTGGTCCCAAAGACCTTTTCTGATGTGGGAGAGGAGAGTTCACCCCAGATTACTGATTTCTTTTAGTTTTATATCCCAACATGGAGATGTTCACTATCACAAAAAAGGGATGGATGACTTCTCAAATATTCGCTTCTATGTGTTTCTGGGAGGGAAAATACTTTAATGGATCAAGAAATGGTTCTTCTATTCAGGAAGCTTTCAAGCCAAAACTCTGGTGGGATGGAGCTTGGTGCCTGCAGGAAGAATCACAAGGCTACTGGGTCACACTTGAGCTTTTCTTAATACTGCCCCAATTTCTGCGTTTTGCAGAAATACAATCACTCTCAATTTTTGAAGGGCTAATTATCTACTTTGTGGATGTGTTTTGTCTTTCTTCTCAAGGATTAGGCCTTGGGCTCTGTTTCCTTTCATTATTATTTCACCCTGAGGGTGGAGAAAAGAAACAATTGGAAATAAAATTCAAATCAGTCTACTTTATTTCTTCTTAAATTTTGTTTTATGGAAGGTGTTTACAAGAAATCATTGGCAAAATTAATGTGCGTGCATTACATACTGTGGATTTTGAGAATTCATAATGTTCTTTTTCCATTTACCACAAACAATTGAGAGTTGGCTGTATTCTTGCAGAATAAAAATGAAAAAAAAAACCAAAAAAAAAAAAAAACCGTGGTAAAGAATTTGGCTTCCCTCAAAAGAAGCTTGTTTGGGTTTCATTTACTCTACTGAAATTTAAGCCAATAGAAAAGATCAACACAATTTCTGTTATGATAATATAAGAGTAACTCTTGGTTAAATGTGCACTCTTATTCCTACTTTAATTCTTTGACCAAAAAGAAAGGGGGGGAAAAAAAGAAAGAAATTGCATATGTTTTTTAACTTGGCATTACTATATCAAGGCTGAAAGACTTTGACACTCCAGTGGATATTTTTATGATCACCTTAAAATAAGTTCAAAGTTTAACATCAGTGTTATACTTTGTCCTTAACCCCTCAGTCTTAGATGATTAAGAAAGATGCTCTGTCCTCCTCCCCAAAATGTGTTATTTCTTCATATGCAAAAAAAAAAAAGAGTTATTCCATAACTTTTAGGAACTGTGACAATTATTTCAAAGAGATACTTGGAAAAGTTTTCTTCACTCTGGAAATAAATGCTTCCCTTTATTTAAAAGGAAGGATATAATTGGAATCTTAATTTTAAGAAAAACGTGTAAAAGTACTTGTTATGACATTCAGTTTCTAAGAAAAATAGGACACAGCTTCTTTTTAAAAACCCTTATTTCAGGCCATATTCAACATCATGGAACTTCTGAAACATCGTTCAGTTTTAAACTTTATTTCAGAGCATTTTTTTATTTTATTTTATTTTATTTTTTTGTACTGCTGTCTCTGACTGTCGAGGAAAGTTCTGTAATTCTGTGGTGTTTCTGGTTTTATTTTTAATTTTTTTCATCTGTACCACAGTCCAATGAAATACCATTTCCCCTATTCCTTGGGCTTTCTGTAGATCAGTGGATGTTAGGTTTAAATTTCTGTTTTCTTTGATGAAGCTTTCAATAAAAAATGACAATAAAATCAATCAAGTAGGGCTGTTGTGTTTGTCTGCACTCTTCCAGAAACCAATTGTGGTGGTGTTATTGGAGGGTGGGGGGTGTGCTGGTAAGAAGGGGCTCTGTTTGTATGTCATTGGGTACATTGTTGGAATTCCTCCAGAAAAGGGTTGTCCCCTTTAACAAAAAGTGAGACTAGAGAAAGCATTCTATTCATGCAAGGGGGGGTGAGAAAAATCACTGTTTGGGGACTTCAGAGAGAGTCCAGTAGTTCTCTTAGGTCTTCCCTTACCTCTCAGCGCTTCATAAGAAGAACTTATGTCAATGGGTTCAGAAACCACCCAACTCCTATCTCCAAGCCTAATATCCAGCAGCCACTTGGTACATCTTATGTGAAGGCCACAAGGGATCAAGTTATATATATAACAATAAAGAAATTTCTTTTGACACGCATGATTTGTATACCTGCAAGGATTAAACTCCCGGCTAACCCAGTTCAAAAGTGTTCATTTCCCAACCTATGGGTGACTATGGTAAGCAAATAATTATAACCAATATTTCATTATACAGCAAAGGAAGATAAGAAATAAACTGAGAAAGCATGTGAGTATGAACAAAAATATAAAAAGAAAGACCAAGGAAGCACTGTATATTTATAATGGACTAAATAAACATGGGGAATCTGTTTTTGTTGCTGTAACAAAAAGGCATAGACTGGGTAATCTTAAATAATAGAAATTTATTATTCATAGTTTTGAATCCTGGGAAATTCAAGATTAAGCTGCCAATGTATATGTTGTTCGGTTGTGCCTTTTATGTGTCTTCAATGAGTCCCCTGAGGCCTGTTTTTTKGGGGGGGCACTGACTTTATCCATGAGGGTTCTACCCTCATGGCTTAATCTATCTCCCAAAGGCCCTACCTTCTAATACAATTACCTTGGGAGTTAGGTTTCTACATAAAATTTGAAGGGGCACACACATTCAGGCTTTAGCACACATTTTCCATTATAGTTTGTTTAAGACAATGGCTCTTTATTTGTTGTTTGTTGTGTGTTTAGGACTTCTAAGGAAATCATATGACCCACACCCACCACATACATAAAAATTTTGTTTCTAGTTTCAAGGTATTTTGGAAGAACTTCCTGAAATGCATCCACATGTGTAAAATCCTTGGTTTCAAGATATAAAGAAGAAGAAAACTAGAAAATGAAGAAATAAACTTGATTTAGTATGCTGTCCCTTATGTATCAATCATATTTTTCTGTCCTAATATCACTATTTTTTTAATGTTTTATAATTTATTTTCTCTAAGAACTGACTGCTTTGTCAATTTTCAAGAGTTCCAGTAAGTTTCATGATGCTCTTCCCTGTCTCCCCCCAACCAAGGAATACTGATGAAGATAACATGTAGCTGCTTTCTAAACAGTAAAGTGAAATCTCATGGTACTTTATCTCAGGAGATTTAAAAAAAAATTTTTTTTCTTTGAAATTGATAAAATGTCTCTAATTAAGCTAAAACACTGTATTTTTATTTAAATCTTTAGAAACTGAGGAAGCAGCCTCTCTCCCAGGGTTTTTCTCCAACCCTTAGTGGAAATCATAGGTTACTATCATAGTAAAGTGGTTGCCGGGTGGTGCTGCCATGTTAGTCTCCTATGGATTCCAAACCCACCTTCCAGATTCTGTGTTTCCAAAGTAAATTAGCATGGTGAGAAAGGGCTGTGGGAGCAAGGTCATTATTAACTGTGCCCTCACTCTGCCAGGTACTATTCTAGCTGCTCCCACAGACTTGAATTCACACGACCTTCACAAGGATGCTCTAAGGTAGGTAATACCTTTCAGAGGAGGCTTGGAGTGAACCTAGGGATCCATGCTTAGAAAGGGCTAGAGTGTAATTTTAAAAACAGATTCATTTTCTCAGATCTGTAGCTTCAAAGTTTTCTTCTTTTGAAATGACTCTGGGCAATGCCAATGTGGAAGGCACCTTGGGTTAGTTTTATTTTTTAATCGCCAATATTCTTTTTTTTTTTTCCAAAACAGTTCACCTCACTGTGGCAGGATCCATTGTTCCCAGAGCTTAGGGGCATTGGGCATTCATTCTAATAACTGTGTCATAGAAACACAGCACAATTCACATGTTCTATCTGAGAAATAACTTGCCTTTTTCATCTTTTCTTGATTTGACCCTGTCTGATTTGTTCTGGAAGGAAAGGGCCTATCTGTCAAGGAGGCAGGCATAACTTTTCCACCAATGCCTTTACTTAACAGCATTCACCGTGTGGTTCCTCCACATACATTTTAGTCATCAGAGTAGATAAGGATCTYGTTTGCAAAAATGTCACAGTCAAGTAAGTACTGGCTTAGGACAACATTTTAGCATGAATAAGATCAGGGAATTTGTTGGACAATATGTTTAGCACTTTTGTAATCCAAAGTAGATGGAAGAGCTGTCTGGTTTGAATGTAGTCATGGCTCATCAAGGTACCTGGAGGTGCTGGGGTTGTGGCTCAGTAGAAGAGTGCTCGCCTAGCACGTGTGGGCTGCTGGATTTGATCCTCAGAACCACATAAAAATAAAATAAAGGTATTATATCCAACTACAACTAAAACAAAAAATATTWAAAAAAAAAGATACTTGGAAGGTCTGCTACCCTCCTCACTGCTATTTCCTAGTTCCTCTCCTTACCAGCACTACCCTTATCCTTTTCTTAAATTATCTGGGACATTTAACTCTTTTGATAACAAAAAAGAGTGAAATCTGTCATTCTTGGCTGGCCATAGCTCTAGTAGGAACTGTTACATATTACCACTGATCTTTCCACAATCATTCCAGGTACAGTGCTGGCCACATTTTTAACATGCTGGAAGTGGGTCTGTGGAAAGTTATATGACCCRGCCAAGTTTTCAGAGTTCAGACAGGATCTAAATTTAGGATATGCTAGCTATAAAATGCCAAAGATTTTCCTCATAATAGTGCTGGAACCACTGATATGATTTGAAGGGATACATGGCCCAAAATAACTATTCTTTTACTTGACATTTTATCCTTATAATTTTATTCTTAAAGGTAGACCACAAAGCAGGGGAAGAAGTGTTTGGGAAGCAGGGGAAAGATCTTGGAATCTAACTAGACCTACCATCTGAAAAATGGTTTTCTTTCTCCCTGAACTTTAGCTTCTTTATTTATCCAAATGCATAACTTTTATTTATCAGAGTATTTATTCTTTTTGTTACTGGGGATTGAACCCAGGGGCACTTTACCACTGAACTACATCCCTAGCCCTTTTTATGATTTTATTTTGAGACATGAGCCTTGCTAAATTGCTGAGGCTGGCCTTGAAATTACAATCCTCCTCCCTCAGTCTCCTGAGTCAATGGGATTACAGTCATGCGCCACCATGTCCAGTTTATCAGATTATTTATGAGGAAAAAAAAAAGGCAACACACATACCATGCACAAAAATTGTAAAGAAAATCAAATCCTAGGTATAATTTGAACTTTTATATTCTGAAGTTTTCCATTAAAACATAAAATATTCCAACAAGGGTAACTCCTGAAAGTTAATGTCAGGATAAATTCCTAAGATGAAAGGAGGCAAGGAATTAAATGAGCCAAGGTAACAAGTAGCTATTTTGCAATGTTGCCCAGATTCCAGAGGACAAAAATGCCAGGCTTGAAATCACAGCCCCCAAGGCACTARAACAAGAAAGCACAGAGGCTCAGCTGCTATTGGAGCTCCATTCACCACGCCCACCACCACCCATTTGAAGGATAATCCTACGTCATCATCCCATCACCATTCTTTCTGCTTTCTTGGGACTTTCAACAGGGCATCTAATTTAAAGGGAGTGCYTGATGGTAGGGGGCAGGTGGTAGCAATTCAAGATTACCTACTTATCAGCTACAAACTGGACTTGAAAACCAAGGGTAAGATCTTCAGCAGACCTCATGCATAAGGTAAGTTTATCCCAAGAAGTTTCTGGAATCATACCAATAAGCAGGTTGCATCAAAGAGGTATTTCCAAGACAAATGATCATAACTAGCAAAATGTAATGAATTCTGGCCTTTACAGGATCTGAAAAAGTATAAAGAGCATAAGAAAATTATTGTAAATGTGTGTGTTGGGGGGGGTGTGGGGGGGTACTTTGTCTGAGGTACTTTCTCTGTCTCTGACTGCCCTGTGATTGACTTGTCTCTTTATTTGGATCTTAACTTTACTTTTAACTTGAATTTAATGATATCACAAAGAAAATTGCGTATACCCTAAATGATCCATATGATTTTTACAAGTTACATACTCAAGTGTAAGCCAAAATTACAAAATTAGTGTCACCCAGAAAGATACCACTCTCCCCTGCTCTCTGCTRTTCACCATGCAAAACTCCTCCTATTAAAGGGCTGAATTTGAACAACCTAGAATGATCTTGTCTGAAATTTTACTCTACATAATTGCATGTTCTCTTGACTTTTATGAACACAGGGATATTATACATGAAGAGAAGACTAACACTTTTGTTTGGTTTTGAAACCCCAAGATAGCTATTATTCCTCTGAAAACTACACATTATTCAATTTTAAAGATGCTCAATTTCAGAGATTACATATGTGTTTTGTGCAGTCTCTTTGACTATTGAGCATTCTTTACAACTAAGAAACAACAAAAGTTCTAAACTAAATGTCCTTTAAGAGAGTGTTAGCCACAGTCTGAAAGCAGTAGCTGAGTCCCAAGGCAAGGATTGTTGCCTGGCTTCTCCCAAGGTTTGCCARCATGTCACTCACTGTCTGCTTATTCATACAATGAGTGACTTGCGGGTAGCTGATGCGAGATTTCACTGGGAGACCATCCACAACCAGAAATCATCAATACATCAATATTTCTACAAAAGCACAGCATATGGAATATATTACACCCATGCCCACCAACTGAAATAGCAACATTTTAAACTTATTATCCTTTTAAAATGTTTAGAGTTTTGTTGCATTGGAGATTTTGCTCTTACTTTCTTTCCTCCTYCTTGACTTCATCCT